CCCCACGAGAGGGCAGCGCAGCCCCGGGAAGCGCCGCGGTCCCGTCCCGGGGGTTTCCCTTGACCCAGGACGGCGCCGCTGCCGCCCCCCGCCCCCCGGTAACGGGACCGGGGAGCCGGGTCCCCACGGACCCCAGGTCCTGGAGGGGGAGGAGGGCAGGAACCGGCCCCAGGCAGGGGGAGGACTGAGCTCACACAGCAGCGCACGACACTTCAGAGCCTTTATTTCGGAGAAAGTTAAAGCCTGTAGATACAGCAATAAAATATACAAAAAAATTAATTTTTTTTACAGTATCGAATGTCGCTCAGGACGATGCTGGCTGCAGCTAGAGGCAGCCACGCGCAGAGCAGAGGTGCAGGAACAGCCCTGGGCTCCTCTGCGTGCCCGCCCAGTGCCAGGGATGCTCCAGGCCCCTGCAGAGCCCTGGCGCTTGCAGGACCCTGCAGCCTCGTGCCCTCAGCTCTGCCCTCTGTCCCTGTCCCCCTCCTACACTTCCCATGGCTCCAGCACAGCCTCTGCTCTCTCACAGCCGAACTACCATGTGTCAGCGACCTGTAAAACCTGGGGCCGTTTCCCACCAAAACGCTGCTCCGCAGCTCTGACCCTCTGCTGTGCCCAGGGACCGGCCTGGACCCGAGTCCCTGCTGGAGGCTCCTGCACTGTCCCCCCTTTCCTCGAGCCTCGGAGCGAGGCAGCCTGCAGTACCCCTGGGCTCCGCGCCCGGGATTCCTCCCTCTCCGTAGCCCCTGATCCCTTCAGCCTTTGCTCTCTCCCTAACGCTGGCAGCCACCTTCCAACCACAGTGTCATGCAAAGCCCCCCGAGAAGCTGCAAATTCACCGACCAAGACACCCCAAGTCCCAACAAAGGAAAGAGGGCCCAGCCTGGACCCCCGTGCAGGAGGTCAGGCAGGTCCAGCCCCAGAAAAGGGCAGCGCTGCCCAGCCCGAGCCTGAGCAAGAAGCCCCAGGGGCAGGAGGGCCAACGTGGCAGCCCTGGGGCCCCAAGGGACCACAGAGCTGAGCTGCAAATGCTGCAGGTTGCCAAGCACAAGGGCACTGGGACACATCCCTGCTCCTCCCTAGGAGACTCCATGCAGGGCAGGGAAAGCAGTAGGAGCCCTGGGCCTGCTGGAGCTCTCTGCCTGCAGCAGGAAGGTGGTGGCTCCCTCAGGCACTTCCCAAAGCCGCTGCTGGCAGCAGAGCCCAGACAGAGCCCAGCAGAACCGTCACCCTCACAGAACCGGAGGGCCTGGGCCCATCCACCTCCCTGCTCCCAGCTGGTCCCCCAGAAATAGGGGGAGCAGAAGGTGCAGGGACAAGAGCACCCGGCTCCAGCTCCAACGGCCGGGGGAGCCTCCCCTCTCAGGCTGGGTTTCCAGCACACGGTGCTGCGACTCCATCCCGCTCAGCTACCACGAGGCTAATCCACACTTCACAGATCTTCAGGGGGTTTCTAGATACGAGCAGTCAGGAAAGCAGCTTTTGACAGCACAAGAGGGGCTGCAGAAGCATTTGTAAGAACTGAGGCTGCAATGGGAGGCTGATAGGCACTTGAATGAGCAAAACAATAATATAAAAGTGTGTTATGGAAGGAACTAGAAAAAGGTTTATCCCCCCCTCCCCCCAAAGAGACCAACGGCACCACCATGGAGGTGGTTGTTCATTTGGGTCAACAAGGAAATCTATGGTGAGGACCAGGGCCCCCAGCAAGAAAAGGCCCTGAGCGAGCAGGGCGAGACCGGGGGGCTCTTGGGGGACCAGGCGAGTGCCGGGAGGCCCCGGGAGCAGCGCTGGAGCCATCACATGGGCGACGACGCACACTCGGGGGTCAGCTCCATGTCGAAGGTCAGCGACTCTGCGGGGAGACACAGCGAGGGCGCGCGGCCCTCGGAGGGACCCACCAAACTGGCCCGCATTGGCCTCTGCTCCCTCGCTGCTGATGCCGGACTGCATGAGCGAGTCCAGGGTGCGCGGGGACATGGGCAGGTCGATGGTGTTGCTGAAGGAGGTGCTGGAGGAGGGAAGGGAACACAGCGACAGTCAGATGCCGACCGGAGCGCTCCGACACCACGGCCACCCCCAGCCTCAAGGCACAGAGAGCCAAGGTCCCAAGAGCTGGGCCCTCCACGACACAAGGAAAAAAGCCAAGGAGGGAGGAAAAGGCGGCTCAGCCTCCCCTCTGGCCTCCTCCTATCCCGGCTATGAGCCTGGGGCACTGCGGCAGAACAGTGGGAGCCGAGGGGCTGTAACCACCCCGAGCAACCAAGCAGTGCAGGGTAAGACCCCCGGAGCAGGGCTGCTCCCTGGGCTTGCAGACAACCCCGCCAGGACACTCACGGGGTGACGCAGATGAACTTGGTCTTCAGGTACGGAGCAGCACCTGCAGAGGAGGAGCAGACTTGTCACCAGCTGCCAGAGGAGGAAACCAGCTCCCCGCCGCGCTCCGGATGGGAATGGCCCTGCAGACACTGCGCAGCGGCCACCGAGCCCTCGCACGCTGCTGCGGCCCTGCATGGGCTCTGCACCAAGGAACGTGCTCCCAAGCACTAGCCTCAGGCTGCAGCTGGGAATCGTGACCCACGGCAGGATCCCACCGTTACCGGTGGCTCTTCCGCCTCGGAGCGGTCACCGCAACAAGCCCGCGCCAGAACACAGAAAGTCAACGACTACCTGAGTCTGTGGCTTCAGAGTGCTCCTGGCTCTCAGGGCGGCAGTACTTCCCAAAGGCCTCCTCCTTCGGGATGTCCGGGTACAGATACACCAGGGGGGACACCAGGATGTTGGTGGCATCCATGATTTTGTAGCCCATGATGATCTCCGCAAAGGACATGCTGTTCAGCTGCTGCTTGGTGTAAGGCTCCACGGACTGGATCTGGGTCTTCCCTGCACAAGGAGACTTTTGACACAGGGCAAGACACCTGCATTCCTCAAACTGAGACCTTCCTCGGACACCGCAGGAGAGGTTGGGACAAGGCAGAGCGGCCTGGGCTCACACTTGGCACAGCAGAGCTGCTGTAGGCACTTGGGCTGTGGCACACGGGCAGCACGGAGAGGCGCCAGGCAGTGCCAGCAGCTTGGAAAGCTGCACCCTGCCAGCAACACACGGGCAGGGGTGACCAGCAAGAGCCACCCAGGCTCATGCTCAAAGGTTTAACCAAGGGAAAGGGCCCATCAGGACAAGGATAAAGGACAAACATAATCGGTGACGATGCTGTGACCCAGGAGCATCCCTGGAGCAAGGCAGCAGCGCCAGGGAGGAGGGAACGTACCACTGATATCCTTCTCCACCCAGGTGAAGGTGATGCCCCCTTCCTTGCTGCTCTCGGTGAACCGCAGCAGGAAGGTTCCTGGCGGCC